CCCACCCACCAATAACGCGGCCACTGACGAACAGCCCATATTCTAAAGACGCAGCCTGCATGATTCCACCAATAATCATGATAAGGGAGCCCCAGAAGGTCGACGACCGGCGGCCCCAGCTCTCGCCATAGAAGAGGATGAGGACAGCGCCTAGAAAGCAACCAATCTGATACATGGCAACGCCGGCGGCTTGGGTGTTGGCGTCACCGTGGCAGTAGCGTTCGTCGCGTGAGCCATCATCGTTCCAGCAAAGAGGGTTCGAGGCGTCGAGGGGAGTCATCAAGGCTTGGTTCTTCTGAAAGTCGTCGAGGGTGAGGAGCCCGGACAGAACGCCTTGGTCATAGCCGAACATGAGCTTTCACCATGTTAGCAGAGCTTCGTCTCCGAAGCAATGTAGGCACACTCACAAAGCCGCAGGAGGCGATGACACCGATGCCCCAGTTCAAGGCGGCACCGCGCAGAAGCTTTCCGTTGACCTTCCATTGTGGCAGATCGCCCATCTTACTGCAGAATCGACTGAATCCACTCTTCGGGGTGCTATCCACCGTCCCCTGGTGGTTGTTGATAGTATCCGCTCTGTCCGACTTTTCAGACATGGTGAATGTCGTGGCAATGACGGTTCTTGGGTTGTCTGGGGGTGGAAACACGGGGAAAGCATGCCACTCTCAACGCGGCGCAACAGTCGTATATATACCACGAGTGTTGATCTCGCGGTTCCCAAGACTTCTTGGTCCCCATCCTTTTCTTCCATTCGTGCATCGCGCACGAGGTGCGCAGGTCCGCTGTTCTGCTGGCCAAGATGCAACGCTGACCCTCATTCTCGCCGGTCGCGAGAACCAGAGTGACGTGTGCCAATGCCATGCTCCTTGCGCTAGTTGGCCATCACGATTCGACGAAACCAAGATGCGAGGCTGACCTAAACGCGCCTCGAGTAATAAGAATTCAGAGTCGTTCGGGATGCTGACGGGTCGGCCATCGAAAAGTCGTCTTCGGCCTTGCCGTATGTGGAAACCCGAGCCATCCCACCACCATCAGCGTCCTCTTGGCCCGCTGGAAAAACCTTTCAGGGGTGCGGGTTGTGGGCCGTTTGGGTAGGCGAGTGCTTGGCTGGCCACACCGCATCAGGATCTTATTAGACGGCACTTGGGCGGCTGGCTTGGCCGCCAAGATTTAAGGTTACTTGCCTCCCTGGCGCCTTTCGGTGGAATGAACCACTCTTTCGGGGCACTCTGCCTGAATCCAACCTGTGGACACCCCAGTTGGCGTTCTGACGGCCCCCATGATCCAGGATATTGATGCTGGCGGCCCACTGTAAGACCGATGGATGTGGGAACCTTAAACTGGACCTCGCCTGGAGCGGCGAGCCAACAGGCCAACAAGGCGTCCAAATCTGTCTTGGGAGCCAGTGTTGCAGGGCTGGCTTCGGGGCCTCATGACTCGAGGTTGAACATAGAACCTTGGTCTGCAGTGGAGTTTTGGTGCATGTCGTAGTTTGGCAACACTCATAAAAAGCCCGCCATGCTGGCTTTGGTGTCTTGGCTGGCCAAAGTGCCAGCCCGTTCTGCCCACAATGACGCCTTGGAAGTCGGTTCAAGGGATCTTGAGGGCAGCGGCGATGGCACCGGTTACGCGTGACGGAGGGGAGTTTAGCGTAGCCTTGACACTCTTTTGTATGAGATAGATGGCTTTGAATTCCGAAGACCTTGCCCGTTAGTGGAGATGATTACGAGGGGTGGTTATTGAGCCGTGACATCTTTTCGGGACTCGCTCTAATACGCGCGATGCCCAGGTGGCAGGATACAAGACATGGGTGTGGAGACTCGTTGTCTCGAAGAGATTGGAAGAAGGTATACTTGCGGTTTGATGAACTTGTGTTATTCGCTTCGCGCGGTGTTTAGATCCCGTCGAGATGTTCATCTGTGTTCGCATGGACGATAGCTGATGATCTATTTGGTGAACGAGAATTCAAGAGCTACAAAGAACATGAATCTGAATCGCAGCACATGCCATATGGAGCAAGGAGATGGTAGAAGCGCTCAACTGGCATGGGTGCAACGTTTTTCAAAACTCGCGGCACAAAGATGCATGCATTTATAGATTCAATAGACGTGCCTCAGAACAATACCATTCAATTACACCCCAGCACCTGCAGAATCTGCTTTTGGCAGCAACCTCTAAGTCGCCTGAGTACCGAACACGCTGGAGTAAAGAATTTTGTTCTAGTAAAATTACAATCTTTGCGTCTCGCGTCAAAATCCACCAGAACCACGCGGCCTATCGGACCATCCAGATCGCCCGGATTAAGTAAAGAGTTTCAGGTACGATGACGCTGCTTGGCACTGTAGTTGAAGCGAAGAGGAGCTCAGAGGAACGCTGTGGCGGCATCAAGTTGTCAAGATGAGCCGCTCGCACGTGGAAACCTGCAGGAGTCATGGCAGGGCAGAAATGTCAACTTTCTGCCTCCGCCTAATTCGTAGGTGGGCCGAGGCCGTTGAAACGGGCTTTTTCCATGACATCACTTGAGCTAATCGTGGGGTTTCTGCTCCACATAAGGTGAACTGTACCCGTCGTGGGAGCAAAACTCGAAGGTTTGGACGCATGTTTCGACTCCGACTGGCGCATATCGACATGGCAGTTTCGTCGGGCTGAGATTCCCGACCACATGTTGAAAGATGGCTCTGTGTTTCTTCGGACAGCACAGCCGTCGCTTACATCTAGCTCATCTAAATGTTGGGAGTCCGTGATGTGTTGAAATTCATAATAAATCGTAGACGGATATTCGTTCACCGTTTCTAAAACTTCCGGAAGAACTGTAGACACCGGAATCGCTCTGATACCTCCTGATTAATTGGTGCTTCTCCTCTCAGTCCCGAGGTTGATTAAGTTATTGCGCGAAATATGAGCCCATCGTTTCCACTCCAGTACCACCCCGTCAAGCATCCGAAGACGGTAAAAGAAGGACTAGACTCGCTAATCAATGGAGCATTGCCATAAAGAATGAATTCTTTAACAGAGGCGAGACTCGCGCTGGACCTTGGGGGTTTGTGACGATCGCGGCACAGCCATTGATCGAGCGCATGACGGCTTACGTAGTCTCTCTTTGGAAAAAGCCTTGGAGCGGGGTTCTTCAACGACTGTGTACTTGGACACCATATCGACCATTTATTCTCTTCATCTACCAGCGGCTTAAGCTTCAGGCATCGTGACACGACCAGCCTAGGACAAAACGACACTGTTAGGCTTCGGCCCAGCGCATGACTCGTAGTGCAACACCACATTCTCATCACCAACATGGCTGACGCTGCGCCAAACACCGCGCGGGAAGCTGCTGACACCTCTGAGAAGACGTTCCGAGCCTACACCGCCGAGCAGGGCGCCGCCTACGCCCGGAACCGCCGCGGGTACCATCCGGCCCTCTACAAGCTCATCCTGCAGCACCACCTCAATTCCAATGGCCTCCTGCATTCCCTCGTCGATCTTGGCTGTGGCCCCGGCACCGCGACCCGCGAGCTTTCACCCTACTTCGAGAACGCTCTCGGCCTCGATCCTTCCGCCGGGATGATCGCTACGGCCCGCGACATTGGGGGCACCACCTCCATCGACACACCCGTGCGCTTCGAGGTCGGATCTGCCGAAGATCTCGGCTCCGATCTCACCCCGCCCGTTGCCGACGGCAGCGTCGACCTCATCGCCGCCGCGACGGCCGCGCACTGGTTCGACATGGACCGATTCTGGGCGCGCGCCGTCCGCGCGCTGCGGCCCGGTGGCACGGTCGCCTTTTGGACGGGCAGCTCCATCGTCATCCATCGCGACATGCCCAACGCGCTCGCCATTCAACAGGCCATCGCCGATCTCAAGGAGGAGCATCTGCGGCCGTACATGGAGAAGGGAAACCTCGTGGGCCAGGGCCTGTACGTCGACCTGCCGCTGCCTTGGACAGTCGCTGAGCTGGTGGACGGGTTCGACCGGGAGTCGTTTTACCGGCAGCAGTGGAACCTGTCTGACGCGACGGACGCGGCTGGCGGGTTCTTCCAGGGCAAGGACGCCATGACGCTCGATATGCTGGAGATGGCGGCCGGCACCATGAGCCCTGTGACGCGATGGCGAGAGGCACATCCCGAGGCTGTGGGTGAAAAGGACGTAGTGAGGATCATGAGGAGGACCATCGAGAAGTTGCTGCACGAAGCCGGTGTGGATCCTGGTAAAGAGTTCATCATGGGAGGCATCTCAGGCGTTCTGCTCATGGTCAAGAAGAAGATGGAAACACAAGCTGCTGCGTCGGTTTGAGCAGTCAGTGGTCATGAGTCACGAGATGACACGAGTAATAGGAGGTAATCTTTAGATGGGTATTTCAATTTTGTTCATTTGTTCTCATCTTGGCAATTCGCTCATAGAACATGAAAACAATAGGGGAGGCAATTAATACCAGACTCTTCTGAATACAGGCATCATAAACCCGCACCCTCGCGGTCATGGGCCGCTTAGATGGTGTTCAGGACGTACCTGATACCAGCCCACTGCTCGGCACCGCTGGCGGCGATCTGGCCGGCGGGCAGAACGAAGCCGTTGGAGGCGTTGGGGCCAGGGCGGAGCTCGACGGTCCAGGAGAACTCGGCGTTGATGGCGCCGCTGTGGTAATCGGGGGAGCTTCCGGTGGTGGCGTAGAGAGTGGAGCAACTGGGACCGTAGGTGAAGCTGGTGCCGGAGACTGCGCGGATGGCGTTGGAGAAGCCGCCGGCAACGGACATCTGGGTTGAGTGGTTGGGAGCGCGGGCACTGCAGCTGTAGCCGTAAGGGAGGAGGATGTACTGGCCGTAGCTGTGCCAGTCGATGAAGAGCTTCACGCCGCGAGTGCGGAGGCCCTGGGTGAAGGTCTGAAGAGCGCGAATCTCGGGAGCGTCACCAGCAGCAAGGCCCTTGTAGGTCTCGTCGCAGGGGTTGGTGGAGGCACCGCCAGTGAGGCCCCAGTTGAAGTTCCAGTTGCGGTTGCCATCGGTGCCGACGCAGCTGGTGCCAGAGCGAGTCTGACGGTTCTTGCGCCAGAGACGGTTGGTGGACTGGGTGTAGACGAAGCCTGCGATTTCATCAATTTATAGTCCAGGATATGGCGAGTTTCAAGGGCTGAAGTAGATGGTTACATACCGTCGGGGTTCACGAAGGGGATGAAGTAGAAGTCATACTTGCCGAACCAAGCACGGACGGAAGCATCGTTGTTAAGGTAGCCAGCAGCAAGCTCACGAGTGATGTACTCGACGACCTGGCAACCGTATCAGCAGCTGAATCTGGCACTTTTGGGCGAAGGAAACTTACGGGGGCAGAAATCCACTCGCGAGCGTGGACAGTGCCGTGGAAGACAATGGCAGGGCGCGATCCCTTGCCGTTGGGGCCCCAGAGGTGGATGCCGTAGATGGTGCGGCCCTGGAAGGACTGGCCGACATTAAAGATCTCCGAGTTGGAGGGGAGAGCAGCCTGAATCTGGTTGAAGAAGGTGGCGTGCTCAGCCCAGGGGCGGTATGCCGTGAACCACGACGCGGCGGGAAGACCGGCCTGGCGGGCCTCGATGGTGCTCTCGTCTGGTGATGCGTGAGCGGAAATTCTTTTGTGATCAGCATCAAGTGACTTACCGCCGTAGAACTCGGAAACGGGACCCTCCTCAGCGAGTGCCTCACCAAGATCCTCGTTGATAACCTTAGCGTCGAGGCCCAGGGCAGCGAAGGCCTCGAGATCCTCAGGGGCGATGGCAATCTCGACGTGGTCGGTCTCGCCACCACAGCCAACAGAGGTGGTGGTGAGGCCCTCGAGCTGCTTGTGGATGTCGGCAACATCATCGTGAGCCTCAATGCGGAAGACCTTGTAACCGTCGTAGTGAACCTTCTCCTCAGCAATGACGGACGTGGCGAGAGCGGCCAAGAGGCCGAGGGTGGTCTGGAACTTCATGTTTGCGTCGTACAACTCGAACTGGAGGGATCCGTGAAGAGTGAAGTGTGGACTGACTGCCTAGGCTTCATCTCCTTCATGGCGACGAACCCGACTTCTCTTATGTAGCTTGCCGGCTAGATTGTCAATCTTGTGATCGCCAATGACTTATTCGTGCTCCCCAATCACCGAACCCCTCATGGGCACAACAAAAGCGCTCACCCTACCCTCGCGTCGATGATCAGGTCGCTCAACCTGTCAGAAACGGCAGGTCGCATTACTTGCCCCTCTCCCCGAGTCGAGCAGCTTGATAACGCGCGACAATCGCCCCCTCTCTCCCCAGCTTCCTGGAGAGGCCACCTGCGCCACGACAGCCATGTCGTGATTTTAGGCTAGCAAGCACGTCGATCGGAGGGGCCGCCGGCGCTTACACACAGCGAGTAGTCAGGCCGCGACTGGAATGATGGAAGGTCGCTGGATCGCTGGGAAGAATTGCTTGGTCGTTTCACGGGGTAGCGTGGACTGGTTCAAGCGCCGGGGGATGGGACCCTGATTCGGCATCTGCTTTCCCCCAGGCCATGCAAGATTGGCTCAACGTAGATCACTCCCCTCCAGTAGCTCCGGCAGCTGAGAGCACTCACCTTCCCAATCCAGCGATCGCCCCCGCGCCTCTTTTCTTGCGTAGTGCGAATCTTCGGCAGCTGCGATTCGGAGTTCGGCGGTGACAAAGCTGAGCTCGCTGCAGGTTGAGTGCAGGCTTTGGCTGAAGGTTGTGGTCTATGCTCGTTCGTTGGCTCGTGACTCTCGAGATGGCACCTGCGTGACATGTATTGAAGTTCCAGGAACTTCCTTTTCGGCTGTTCATGTGCTTACCCACGTTCAATCGGAGCGCCCCGAGGAAGGAAGC